GGGAAATTGTCCACGCCCGTGTAGTCACCGCAAGGATGCCGATCACCGATCGCGGCCTTTTGTTATATATGGAGGCGTGAAGCCCATGGGATTTCAGATCGATGTATGATGCTTATCTGAGACACGTGTTCAAACTCAGCCTTTGCTGCGGTCAGACATGCAGGCGCGAGATGGCGGGACGGTGGAAAGACAGAAGAGCCCGTGCTTTGGATGTGGTGCGCAACGTCGTGCGGTGGTGTGGAATGGACTCAAGGGTGAGAACGCCGAAACCGCACTCGAATGGGTTAAAGAGAACGCCAAGTTGTTGAAGGTGGCCAAACGCCCCTAGCGACCTCGTATTCAAAGCCATGCTTTGCTCGCACGCTTCTGGGGCACGTCTGTTGCTCTTGTCCGCTGAGCACCTACGCATCCAAGCGTGTCAAATGCAGGTTATGGTCACGGACCTGTCTGTGTGACCTAACTGGCCAATCACATCCCAAGGCCAGTCCACAGAGGACCTTCAGGTGATGACTGCTTACTCCCGGAGCCGGTGACCTTATGACCGGTTGCAGACATCAGGACCTGGCGACTACGCTCGCTGGAATGCGACTCTGTACTCGGCCCGCTCACGGCTGGACTGCACTCGTCTGGGAGTCACTTAACTATTACTCATATTCTACTCCATCGACGCTTAATTAACTTATCCGTAACACTCTGGCGAGTAGACGAGCAGCCATCTATCACACTCTTAACCCCTCCCACTTGAACCGGTGACAAGACCTAGCGCGAATCAGGCGTAAGCCGCTTTCACCAATGCAGGTCAGAAAGACCGCCTAACTTAGTCTTAAGTGGCAGTAACCTTTGCGCTGGTACTACTGCAATACCTACCCTTACTCACCTTCACTGGGTGTCAGGACAAACTCAGGGAGACCTAGGCTGATACTGCTACTATTGCTATTGCTCTCTGATCATGTTTCTGATGGTGAATCCGCGACGCATCTCGAAACGTCAAGCGAATACAAATTATAATCCCAGCGATCGAGTCGCCTTCTTCTCAACTGTTATTTCTATTTCTACTACTAACGAGCATGTAACTGAGTGTTAGTAGCAGTGGTATTATTGCTGACGCTAATATAAATCAGGAGTGACGTTAATTAAAGTCAAGGCTGGGGCTTATATCCCCCTAGATCTCAAAAAGGAGTGTGAATCTGGGTTTATTCTATTCCGAGTAAATGCATGTTTGAATCCCAGAGCAAATCCGGACTTGCCCTGGTTTCTGCCCTCTCAATTCTACACCCCAGTCTGTGTCAGTTTGTACTTACTTTGGATTCCGGAGAAGAGGACACTGCTGCTAGAAGTAATGTGCCTCTGCTAAGAGTGCTAATTCTAGTAATCATACTTACAAAGACCAGTAAATAGT